ATTACAATTGTTTTGGTTCTTGCTATTTTTCCAATTTGAACAGAAAAATCTACACCTCTCCGTTTCGTGTCAGTTAAGGTTTCCCCACACTACGCTTAAAATAATTGAGGACATCTGTGCAATATGGGAGGAGTTTGCAGGAAGATACCAAAGAGCCCCTATCGGAATCCAAAAACCCACACTGCAAATGGCCTTAGTCATGGTCCACTAATACCTTATACAAAACAACCATTCAGCCATGTCTAGACTATGCCAGTTCTGTGTGGGGCAACTGCTCAATGACCAACAGGGAGACTCTTTCTAGGCTACAAAAAGAGCAGCCAGGATTGTTGCTAATAACTTTGATTATATTAATTCTCATGATGATGATATCATGAGGGCCCTTTCTTGGCAGACTTTTGAGTAAAGGAGGGACAGTTATTTAGCTTGTAATATGTATACACGTGTTCATGATCTAGCCCCTGACAGGCTTTGTAATAATATTGAGATGCATGTTGATAGGCATGGATTTAAAACTAGAAACGCTGATTCTCTGAATGTTGTAGTCCCTTGGCCTAACATGGAATGTGTTATTAAAGCAATCTCTCGGGGCTATAAAGTCCAGAATGCATCCTGTTTTGATGGTTTTAAAATAATGTATAAGAAGCTTTTTTTAATTAGGTTATTTTTTAACACTATTGTGGTCTTATCGGTTAATCTTACTTTGTCTCTGTACTGCACAGGACGCTGATGTAAAACAGCCTCTGATTGTGTATCCTGTTTAAAGATTTTAAAAATTAAAACCGGTTTACTGCATCTGTCCTATATTATGATGCCATTCATGTTTATTTTTCATTTTTTTCGTTCGTTATTTGGCTTAAGAGGAACTCTTGACTCTCAACGCGATGTTTGGCCAGGCAACCTGTCCGCTCTAGAGGTGATCTCATTTCTTGTGATGAGGGCTTTCGTTTTTCTCCTCTGGTTTTTGGGTTCAACAACTCACTGCCGACTTATAAAAGAGGAAAACGCTGTGCGGTGGCGTGTTTGCTTTATTTTTTCAGGCTAAGTAAATTGGCTTTCATCCAATTCGGCAGTTTGTTGACACTTATGTTGGAGGCGCTTGGCGTTATAATTGTGTAAGGGGATACTGCGAATATTAATTTATATCAAATGACTCATCCGAGAAGGTGAAAATCTTGTAGACATGTTGTAAGGTTTAAATTTCTTATTTAAGAATAGTACGATCATTAGTATTTGGAGATTGTAAATTTCTATATCAGTTCAGTTCAGCGTCTCCAGAAGTAAGTATAACATACGTTGTGATCTTCATATTAAAAAAACCTTGAAAACATTCTGGATCTGTTATGACAGCTGCACTTTGCGCTTAATTAAGAATTATGACGTCTTTAATGGAAGTCTTCGTTGACGTATTGGATTCTTAAAAGGGGCTCGTACATAGTGTTGCTTTCAAATGCAATTCTGCGTATCTTTGTTGTAAGCCGATCAGTCGTTTACGCAGCATGTGTTTCTAGCGCACCTCACCACATCATCAAACAGATTAATAGATTTGCCGAAACCTAAGTGTAAAGACGAACTGAAATTGTCACCCGAGGCTAGGTGTGCTGGAGTATCATGTCCCCTCCTGGTTAGTGCAGATACTACTCCTGGGGGGCTGGATGCAGCTAACCAATTACCGACTAAACAGAAGCCTTCTAGCGCTTTGTACATCATACCTTGTCAGGGAAAAAGGTGCGCCAATATCGGCATTACACGCCCTTAATTCGTACGATTAGACAGACATGAAAGCTGCCGGCTTTCTTGCAGGCGCATCGCTACCTATCTACGACTGTTGTGTGTTTCTTAAATTATTTTCGTCAGTTGGATATGGCTTTTGAAACTTTTAGAAATGACTGAGCTCTAATCAATACGACAGCCGAGAAATATCATAGTGTTTGAGAGGTGGAAATTGTAAATTTGATAATAAACGGTCGAATAAGTCTTGTTTAAAATAAAAAGCAGGAGAGCCCACCACAACACCTGTATTTTGAAATATTTCATGTTCAAGAATCTGTTAAGTTATTACCCCAATCATAACCAAATTTAATTTATCGCTTCTTAAATTCGTAGAAATGCCCCCCCCCGCAAATAGGCAAGATTTGGAATAGTCACGATGAAGACCAGACGCAGTGGCGACACAAGCCATTTTAGCCGGAACCTGTTTTTTCTAGTTCATGCGTTGGTGGACCTGTTTGCACATGTGCGCTGTGTATCTATTGGGCGCTTGTTACCAAAGGCAAGTTGTCCATCACTGTCTGATTTTAAACGAGGTATATCATAGAATGCAAATTAATACATGGGTTTACACGATACTAAATCAGCGATCGGCAATAATCTATGATTTGTACGTTTTAAGTTTACACTTTGATTGTTGTAATCTCTGCCTTATACGAAATAGGTTGTACAAGGCGTATTCCATATGATCCGCGAGTAACTTTAAGGTACTTGAGTGATTTATGTTTTTCATGTCGCTCTGTTTTTCATGTAGCTGGTTATGTGAAAGACTGTTTGTCGATATTAATGCAGCGTCAGTCAAAAAAGCCCCTAAACAGTTTGGTGACTCCAAAACATAATTTAAAAACTTTAAACTATAATTCTTAAGTTTGCAAAGATCCTATTACTAGAAATTTCAAGGACTTTCCCACAAAACTAAAAGACAAAGAATTACGAAGACCACGACGGAATAATTAATTGAAGGAGCTCGTGTAGACGAACAATCGAACCTTTGGGAGGTTCGTGTTCTCTTATTATTTGTTGCACTGCACGATTTATCGATTCCTTTAATTCCGTGATTCGACAATTTAAAAAGGTGCCTTTAATTTAAAAGAAAAAAACAGCCAGTTCGTGCGATATTTTGAATGCTTTTGATTCGGAATTCAGGAACATATCCTCGTGATTTCAACGAAGGATTATTGAGACAAAATAACTTTTCATCATTCCCAACTCAAATCAGTAAATCGACGGACAAAATTCTGCTTACACCATATTATGAGCACTCAAAGAAGATCGGGTATTAAATTAAAAATAAATCCAACCACGTCTTGGTTTCAGCTTACGGTATGTCTCAAATCGTACAAAAGTTTGGACTGTTTTTTCTGTAAACCATTAAAAACGTTGAGTTCAAAGGTTTAACTAGTCTACGTTTAAGTTTTGATTTAAGAGAGTGGAAAAGCTTCCTTCCAGTACGTAAGATAAGCCTAAATGTTTCATGTCCGCTCTATTCACGCATTGAATGTTTCTCTTGAAGAAAATGTGACTTGCAGGCCTCTCTAGATTGACCATCAGGGAATTCAACACACGGCTCCTTTTTCAGTTGGTAAACTACTTTCCATTTTTCTAAATGACATTGCAATAAATTCCAATTACCCTTGGGCGGGACAGCTTGTCTTTCCCTCCGTTCCCTAGAAACCTTCTGGGAAGTTGATGACATCACGTCGTCTCTTGCTCCTTCAAAGTCTAATAACTAGTTCAATTGAAAAAAATTAATCCACATGCCAATTCATTCGTGTAGATTCAGTTAATCTAAGTTTGACGCCCACGAGCTAACAGAAAAGAACAAAGGAACAAAGACTGGAACTTTTGGGTATTGTGGTGTTTATGATTCGTCCATTAGGGACTTCAACGCATCAGACGGTCTGGAGTTAATCTGGCAAGATTTTTACATAACTGTGAAATCTATCTTCTGAGGATATCTTCTCGCATGCATTATTTAAACTCATACAAATGGATTTGTAGGACCACTTAAGTGCGCTTCGTCTTTATGACTTACCGTAAGTAGTTAAATATTTCAGAAACATGTTTTCGTAGCGTATTCAACAGAGTATAGAACTGTTCCAAAGTTGAATAAACTAAACAACAGAAGTTCAGATAGTCATAGCAGCGTTGTCGACATTATAAGTTTGCTTGTTTGTTTTTCTAGCTTCCTCCATCCAGCAATTGCAGTTGTTGCACTGTCGTACAGGCCTGAGGATCCATGCGTTTCATTATGGGACAAAAAAAATCACATTTCGTTTACGTCAGAACAACCACAAGTGCTAATCCAGCAAGACAAACGTACCTAACAGGCGCAGATGCCACCCTGCTGAGCTCAACTGGCCCTCGATGCCCTACCAAGACGTAAACACCTTCCTCCTCATCCCTTCCGAACGTCTCGCTCTCCTTAATTCGATCCTAGTTTTTCACTCGTTGGCTCATGGTCAGGTGTCTGACTCAAGATTGCATTGACGGCTATACCTCGGATCGAGTTTCCGGCCTGCCATCCCACAGTCTAATTGCTGGCGGTTCTTCGGAAATACTTTTGTCCAATTCCATCTGCGTGTTTCACCGCCCCCAAACTAAATCAACGCATCTTAAGCCTTTTAAGACTAGATAGATGTTGAGCTCATCGATGGTATGTGCATGGATGGCTCTTGACAAGAGTCACCCAGACAAGCTTATCAGCCTTTGCTATATATTGCTTCAGTCTCTGTTTGCATTTCTTTGCTTTGTGTAATGACGCTGCTTTGCTTGGCTCTAAGCTCTTTAAGTTGTCAAAAACAGGTGTCCATGTCTAGGAAATTACTCAGCTTGAATCTTGGGCTGTTCCGATGACAACATTCTGTTTAGGTGTAAAATGAATTTGGATATACCAATATTCAAAGATGAGTTGCTGGAACAAAATCACACTTCTCACCGATGGAATAAAAAGTAACAATGTTCACTGATTTGTATTATCGATCTGTATTATCTGTATCATCGAAACATGTTTATGTTTCCGGACTCGTAGAATTAATTATGATTTCAAGAGAAGCAACTGACCTAGACATCGACATGACTTTCCATTGCATTAACTACAGTATCAACTGAAAATTTGAGATAATCTCTGACTCCGTTCAGTACTTATCTCGGTTAGTCCCTGTTCCCACAGCTCATCTTGTCGTGTGAACGAAATAAGACTGCTATGAATACTGAGAGATACACTAAACTCAATGCTTTATAGACCGTTCGTCAGAATCGATTTTTATTAACCAAATTTTAATATCCGTTTCGGTTTAAATTTCACACTATTGGCTTTACTTCACCTGCTTCAATGAAATGAATGCATTATGTTCTTATCACCAATTGTGTTTATTTAGCAAACTAAAAGGACAGAGACTGTCGTCAATGAAAGGATAATTAATTTTGTACATTTCCACAACAATCTATAAGTGAATAAGACACAGCTTAGTTCTACAGTTTGGACTAACTATTTCGACTTCACTGGAATGTATTTAATTGGTCAACTTATTTGTGCCTATCAAGCACAAAGTCACTTTCAACGAGCCAGTCAAATTCATAAAAGAATTTCTATCAGTATTTATTTCGATATTGTATCCGATTAATACAGTAAAGTAATGCGTGCAGAAGCTATAATGTGGTGACAAAATTAAAATCTTTTACTTTTATTTACAAATGTCATCAGTTGACCATCTGTGGCGGATATTGTGCTATTTTCCCATACTTTACACCTTTTTCGTTTAACCATCGATTTTGTTGCGGGAGGGATAAATTTGATCCTACAATGTGTAATGTAGGCCGTATGACCAAAGTGGTATCGTGGATAAAATGTTTAATATTGGTGGCGCACTGTGAAAGTTGTTGAATCTTTGACAAGTTCAGCGGGCTGCCTATCGTAGATATTAAAAACTGTCAAAATGTGTGCCACATTGATTTTGATACTTCAAACGAATCCTACCTGAATTAACATTTATTAAAAGGCCTGATTTATACGACTATCCAAACTTATTTCACCAGTAGTTGCTTATCAGACCGGAAGTTTGAAGTGAGATTCAAAACCACAACTTCATGTAGGCGTTATTTCAGGTGAATTATGTTAGACACTTAGAAAAATGAAAGTACATATTCATTTTGCTGTACTACATTATTTGTGGCAGAAATCTGAGTGGCAGTCACTCTGGAAATACCGGTAAAGGGCAGTGTGAAGTTGTTGGCACAAATGTTGCAGGTTTGTGATTGTTTACATTTTCTGTATACAGTGCAAAAAACCGAGAATGTGCAAAGAAAACTGCACGCATACCACTGTGTTACACATTGTGTTTGTAACAGGCACTGTGTCATTCACAATCAACCGTAGTTAAGCTAGGTATGGTGGAAATAAATGCCCGAGTAAAACTATGTAGACAAGAAATGATCCAGTACTGTCAATGGTAATTAGTAAAATTAGAGTTTAATAGTCCACAGTCTTGTAAATATGATCCCTCTCCTTTCGAACGGCATATCAGCCTATTCGGGTTGAGAAGGGATTTGAAAATATTAATCTAAACCCCATAGCAAGAGTCTTCTTAGCACAGCAATCATTAGCTCTAACGTCCTTATTAAAGTGTCTGTTTATTTTCTCTTAATCATCACTCCGTAGTTGACTTAATATGTCGCTGACTGCTGCGTCAGTACCATCTTCACGCTTGCCAAAGGGTAGCCCGCTGTGGTATCCCCTTCGATCCATTGTTGTACCTTCTTCCTCGATACCCGAACGCTTCCCGAAAGGCAGCCCGCTGTGGTATCCCCTTCGATCCATTGTTGCACCTTCTTCCTCGCTACCCGAACGCTTCCCGAAAGGCAGGGCGCTGTGATACCCGCGCTTACCGAACGGCAGTGCACTGTGTATCCGTTTGTCGAACATCAGGGCCGAGTTGAATCCCCTCCTCTCCATCAGTGCATCTCGCTCTGCCTCTTCCTCCTCACGTTTCCCGAAGGGTAGGGCCGAGTGTATTCCCCGTCTATCCATGGCTGTTCTCTTGCCGAAAGGTAGGGCTGTGTGTATTCCCCGTCTGTCCATGGCTGTTCTCTTGCCGAAGGGTAAGCCAGAGTGGAAAGCTCTTCTCTCGACGACTTCGCTGTCGGAATCGTCGGCCCGCTTACCGAAAGCCAACGCCGAGTGGCGTATTGGTGAGTCGGCTGGTCGTTTAGCTCCTGTCTGAAAATAAACAAAAGAGCCAGCAATTACCGCTCAACCTCGAGATGCAGCGGACAAGTGTGCAAAGTGAGCAAAAACCCACATTTCGTCTGGACAATCTTGTTTTAGTAACCCATCTTTTGTAGCATCGTCTGCGTTAAGGCTGTACTGAGCGAGGAACAAGAGCCAAGGAATGTCCACTACAGCAGGGAGGCTGTTTTACTGTGCTAATTGGAATCCATAAAAGGTCGTCATTGGACAATGAGAAAAGGCAAATTTGCCCATTCCTTAACACTGCGTAATGTCTTGTTTCATGTTGCAGTCATAACTCTGTTTTGGGGTTTTTTGATATGTACAAGTATTTCTCAGACTATTAGTTGGTGGAAAAGTAGACAGAACCGACATGACGGTATTTTCCTTTCTAAATTAGTGGAATAGAATATGAGGCGATGACTCCGTGTGAACTGGCTTCTCTTTGTCTCGTCTCATACTTTTCGAAATTCCGCCTGCATTCGATTAAAATTAACTCACTGCATTCGATCGATCGGCTTCACACGCATTTGGGCAAAGACTCCAGCTGCGATTCTAAAGTGTCAAAGTTCAACTATAGGCGGACTTAACTTCCTTGTTGGATGGGATTGTCTGTTTTTCTTGACAGACTTGACCCCATAGAAGTTTTTTTTTTCATTTCAGTGGATGTGATTTAATCAATTGCTGCATCGTCCTTTATATTAAAAGAAATAAACAGACGTTCATCAACGCCAGCTTTGTCCGGGAACAGAACCATTGAGAATGAAAAATGGTGATGGTCTTCAACAAACATTAATGAATATGACATATAAGTCTGTGTGATAATATAATCCTCAACGACAATTAACATGACTGATAAAAATGTAACGAAATAAATCAAATGAATTATATTAAAGTTTTCATGCTGGTCATTCTCTCTGAAAAATAACAATAAAACTCAGTCCCAAATCTTTCCCAACACCTATATTAACCGGGGAATGACCATTCGTAATTTCTTTACTGTGAAAAAAATTTAGAAATTGCTTTATGCAATGAAGTGTTTTCCTATTGTAAGAATGAGTCGATCCGTTCTTTTGAAACACTGTTCCATTGACGTTTGATTAGGTACCATTCTTCGTGTAATCAGCATTGACGTCAGTACTTAGTTCGCGCGTCCATTATAAGTATGACGTCATCAAATTTCATTCCTCTACAGAAACTGTTTACATTTGGAATGCTGTAGCTATGGTACCTAGTTTTAATTTTTTGGATTCTAATTGCTAAATGAGTAATGGTTTCTGTAGTCGTAAGTGTAATACTTTCCACAGAGATGGTAAGGAAATTATTAGTGTGCTAATCATTTTTTTTTGCTAGGTATGCTTTTCTTCGTGTAAAATTAACTTCAAGTTGAATATAGTTTCGATATGTTCACACAGCAATGCAGTTTAACTTATCGTGATGTCTGGACTTGCCTCTGGACGAGTCATTTTCTCTAAGATGTGAGGCCTGTGTACAAACACCACCAGATACCCTCCATCCGGGGAGGCAATTTTAAAATCAGCAAAATTTTTGTTGACCTTAAGTTTACTCTAGGCCCAAGGTCAAGGGGTTATAATATGCGTTATTAATATGTCATGTTATTAGTAATCCTCATCACACCACCTAAATAGTGGCTCTGTACATCAGTTACCAAACGTAAGCTACGCATGCTTTAAGGTTGTCAATGAGATATCTCAAACTCTCTTTCAAAACCTGTTATGCAATGATTCCTCATCCTCAGAGGCATGAAGGGTCGGATTCTAAGACACACCGGCCTATAACCGGAACCTCTCCCATCTCAATGGTCCTCCTCACACTTTCTTGCCGCTTGACTTGTTCATGGCTCCTTTGCTGATGGAACTCAGTCTGTTTTTTTATCAGTGATGTTGAATAGCGTCCATACTAGGAAGGAAATGGAGTAATCACGCCCCCGGCTGGTTGTGTGAAGATTACGCCCTTTAATGGCATCACTTCTCAAAGAGACTAGACAGTCTGAATTACGCTCCATTTAAAGAAAAATGTTACATGCTGCATTTTTACACGTACGCAGAAGATTCTGTTAGCATCCAAGAAAGTTACTTTAGGTTATTGTGTTTTGCAAAATGTGACTCTATAATATAGCAATGAGTTGACACTGATTAATTAATTTTATAATTTTCAGCCATTGAGCGCTAAAGGGGAAAAACAAATTATCGGACATAAAAGGTCCTTGTATTAGATTGTTGTAGGTTAAAAAGACATCTATAACGATACAGTAGATGACGGAGTCCCTTTGCATTCCGTTTTCTAGCGTAAAAAAGTTTTGAAATTTGCATTGTTCTTGAGGGTGTATAATCATCAGTCCAATTTACCATTTGGAAAAGCTATTACATAGTTTTATTTGAATTCTAAAAAAGTGAGTTTTGAAAACAACAGCAACTGATACATTTTCCAAAGATGATGCTGACAGTGTGTATAGACCTATTCACTAATAAATTCATAATTATGCACGCATGCGCACAAATGACCATGGCGGTAAGAAGTGTGAGCGGACCATTGAAAACGTACAGGGGTGCGATTTTGATTTCTGGAAATTTAGAAAATGTTACAAATACAATTCATCAAGGGAAATTTCTGCCATTTTTTATAAAACTTCTTTTACTTTCAGATTGGAGTGCGCCAAAACGGGATTGAAGAGTTCCAATCCTTGCCACGATTTTTCAGTCAAGTCTACGACAGCAAGAAAGACGACAGTAGCGATGATATCGGCGAACGAAAGTCGGTGAGTTCCACCTTAAGACATCGTACATCCATCACGATGGGCCTACCTCATTCTCTACATTCAGTCTATCCTGCCGCAGGCCCTTCAACCAAGCACAAGCCTGATCCTATCTTGATCAAATTTGTAACGCCAGGGATCAGCAGTCGTTAATGGTGTTATTACTCAGTGTCTGTTCGCTGAAATCGATAGAACACGCTTAATCCTACCTGTTGAAGCTGATTTTTCTTCCTCTTTTTCTTCCCGCGCAAGAGGAATACCTATAAAATCTTATCATGCCTTTATCCCCCGACGACCGTTTCCCATTTTTAAGTCGCTCCTGCTATCTGGTGATGTCCAGCACCCATGTTGACTTGAATATTATATTATGGGTGAATGTGTCTTGATAGGTCCGCAACCGTTTTTGGATTTCAAGAATAAATCAAATTTGGTTTTTTTAAATAAATGACGACTTTAAAATTATGGGAGCAAGATTGCTGAATAAAGTAAGGCATAAAATAATTCTAAATCAAAATTATCTTAGATCTTTACTCTTCTGTAGCATGCAACAGCCGTCAGAAGCTTTGACATGGAATCGGCAGAGGTGAATTATAAAGCGCTGAAGATAAAGGTTGGGCATGCCGAATATTGTCCCAATATTGATAGATAACTTGTTGGAAAGTCATACCATCTCCTAGATTACTGGATAAAAGCTGGGAAGACCGCTAGAAATCCGAGCCTTTCCATAAGTGCCGTTTGTGATAAACACTTGTGCAGCGTGTGACATGAACTAAGCGTAGTTCATTAGATGGGAAGCATGATACGACTAGAACGCAAGAGTATGCTGACATTCTCTTTGTCGTTTTGGTGAGATGTCTGTTCCAGCTGGCTTGAATTTCAAGTGCATGCTTTTCGCAATCTTTATTTGGCAGTGAAATGGGTTTTCTTTACTACAATGGGTTTTTGTTTCGTTGCATTGTGTTTTGCTTTCGCGTGATACTTTTAAATTCTTCAACTAGGGGTTTGGATGATACAAATACTCTGTATTGATTCATTCTTTGCTTTAATCTACAGCAGTAGGTTTTGTAAATTCAGGTAAGAAAGATGATTCTGGTTAAGTATCTTAATTTTGTAAGGATGTGTGAACTTTAACTGGCAACGACCTTCGGAATATGGAAATATTAAATCTCTTTAAGCGCTTAATATTAACCCCCACAAAGTACTGACGGGGGCACATGGTACCCCTCTGCTATGCACAACAGCATAACCAATTTGTTATATTGCCCGCAGGTTAATAGGCGTTAAGAGCAATGAAAATACCAGAGTCGTGAAAAGTACGCGCATGAATTGCACCCCATACTGCTCAATGTCAACACTTGGAGATGAGCGCCTCAGGTTAACTGTCGCACTTGGTAAGTTAACCAGCTATCTTCACAGTGGTAGAAGAGTGGTCGCAAGTGACAGATGTTGCCAGGGTTATGGTGCATTTGCAGGTATTTGTTTAAACGGTGTGTGATCTACTTTTTTTGATTGGTGAGGCAGGGCGGCGGGACGGGTAAGGCGCCCTCAATGGTTTTTACGTAAAGCACGACCATTAACATTTGCATTTGAAATCTGATGATACGATTTGTCAACCACGAATAAGAAACTATCAATATAAATCTCAAGTCTTCAAAAGACTTGTACCTGGTACAACAACAACAACGACTTACTACTAAAATAAAAGACTCGCAGAAAATCGAAGCAAATGCTGCGTTCATTTAAATATCATAGGAAAAGCTTCCTGTCGTTTGTTAGACACAGACATCCGCTTGATGTTAGAGCTCGACTAACCAGGGCTTCGATCTTGAAGCTTCTTGAATGGCAGGAGTCAACTCTAATTCATACAAAAAGGGAAAATCGACCACGTATAATTTTCCTTTTAGGAGATTATAAAGCCACGAATTGCTAACCTTCTGAGCATTATCAGCTCGCATTTGGTACCAAAACCATCGGTCGTCGCGAGTAACGTAAGTCACATGCTTCCACTTGCATGGCTCATATAAGGCGAGGTTAATGGCAATCCTCCTCCGGTTTATCTCCGGTCTGCCTTCGTTATCAACCGTTAATTGACTACAAATTCAGATATTTGGCAAACAACGACTGAGAATAACATCTGTGGCCTCATGTTGACTATGAAATGTCAACCGTCAGTACTTCGGAAAAACACCAACACAAGTAAAATCGACATCAACATGTTGGGCCACAGCGTGAAAGATGTTTCTGATTCTTTCCCTTGCAGAACACCCAACCCATTCTACAGTATTGCAAATTACCTTAAACATCTTTGCTTTCGTGTGCAAACAGTTTTCATTAAAATCGTTTTAATTTACTTTCCAATTATTGCACACATTTGTCCCGAGGATGTTTCGCTTTTTATTCAGTTTCCTTTAGTTTGCGCTAAATCGCACCAGGTTTGCTAATGATTGATGCAACCAGATATCACTTTAACGAAATATTAAAGGCAAAAAACATTATTGACAATCTCTAGCGAATGGCATAGCTGGACATATTTATTGGAGCGTTAAATTAACCAGATATAAAATGACTGAATTTAATATCATCAGTGTTTTTTAAATGGGAATCTTTTATATATCGTAATGCTGTCATTATTCAAATATGCAAATTATAAGTGTTGCCACATATCCCCAACGTAAAAACGCACGTAATCTTATATTACCCGGTCAACTGTTTTCCCAATAGCCTGACATCATTACCCGCGATATGCCCGCATTGCCTGGCCCGTGTAAGCATATCCTTCGCAGAGTTCAGCACTCTTTAGATTACATGTTAGAAGAAAAGATTGTGAAGAGAAGAGAGTTCTTTGATAACGTATCACTGAAACCAAGGCACAAAGCCAGCAGTGGTCTTATCAGTTGCTAAGTACTCACTCTTCTTTCCTGCATTACTGCCACTGGGTAGGTGAATGGACCCAAGCGATGTAATATCGGGCACGTGTTTAGGAAAGTGGGTGGAAATCTTAATTGTAACGTTGTAATTCAGTCATTTAAGATCTTAATTACTTAGACTTCCTCGTCTCAAAAAAATTACAGTTAATAGTGTCTTTATTTTACCACTTATTTGTTCCTTTCTTACTAATTTGTCATGAAAAAATAATTTAATTTTGATTCGGACAGTGACTCTAACTTATTTTGTTGGAACAAAATAGTGAGCCCTAAAACAACGTTTGATCTGAGAGACACTTGGGTCTAAAAAGTACGGAAATGCATTCCAAATATCACGACAACATGAAATTGAAGATGATACCTAAGGGAACTACAACAGATATCCGTATCCAAAGGATTGGAACTTATACTGTTTCCTTGTGGAAGTTAAACTTTTAGTGAGGTTTTTACTTTTTTTAACCGCCAGTCAGCTTATCGTAGTTCAACAAGCGTCATACTGACGTCACTACTTTGTTTATATGTTATCACCTTTGTCGAATACTTGCATGAAAAGCAGATCCTTGTTAACTAATTAACAGCTGCTGTGAAGGCTAGTGCCTCGAGTGGAAAAGAATCATTCCAACTCTTAATATTAAAATTGAAAATAATTACTATTACATTTTATGTGTACAGTAAGTCTACAGACCTTTCAATCTTACAATTTAAGGGGTTTTCTGCTTGTTAAATATTGGAGTTTGGGAGAGTGCTAACGGTGCCTTTTCTACGTTGGTCAATCCATTTAGATTCGTATCGGTACCACTTTTGCCTGTTGTCAGAATGTTCTCATAGTTTTTCTACACTGTGAAACTAATCGCAGGGTAGGCTGTCTGCACTGACAAATCGTCTCCGAAGACACAGCATGATTATTTGTATTAAATCAGCATGAATTCAGCTACCCAAAAAATTTAAACAGAACAAAAAGTTCACGAAAGGGAGAAGTAACCCTATCATAGCGATAATAGGAGGCAAAGACGTTGCAGCTCAAACTTTGAGATTGACAGAGTGTATAGTTCACCATAAGAAGTATACGACGAAGCCGTTTAAAATACATTCAAGCTGGCAGAAATTGATAGGACGTGAAGAGCACATCTCACCGTTATGAACTGACTTCGCCCACGCGTGCATGGTTGGGGGTGGTACGTGTACCAGGTCTGAATCTCATTTCAATCAGGTTTTTTTTTTCAGTGCCCGCCAGAGTCAACACTCCTTTGCCATGAACGTCCTAGTCCGACAAGACCACTGGTATCTTATCATTCCAGGCCAAACGCCTTGATACATTCATGGTAACTTTTTCCATTTTACAGAAAATGAGGGCAGTGTTATTCCAGAAAATATCAGATTGATGTTTCAGGGAAACCTTAGCCGTTGTGCCTGGGGGCGCCCCGTATTGTAAGTGACTCCTTATCTCTCAAGTATACAGTGTGAATGATCAGCATGACACTATATGAAAGCTAGCGTGATACAGATTAATAACATTGGGGGTAGGCTGAACAACGCTCCTCTATAGTTCAATATCACAATTCCGGAAACTTAGAATGATCATTTAGTTTTTATAGTCTTGTGTTGTCTTTAATCTTTAGTCGGTACTTCGATTTGGACTTTGGAAGGGATGCAAGCTGTATGTATATACACTGTAAAAAGAGAAGGCGAGACGGGCACGGCGTGATGTGAAATTACAACGATTTTATGACCGAATGAATCGTAATTAAAGACGCTGTTCGTGTTGTATTGCTTCAGTGGGGTAATTACGTGAAAACATGGAGTCATTCCTGTAATAACTTGTAGCCTGCACTTGATGGGAAACTTGTATTATATGTCAATAAAGCAGGTGCACCATTTTAATGATACTGCTCAGTTGTTTGCAATCTAGCCCCAAAAGTGAATACTCAAAAGCAGTAGTACTCTCCTTAAATGTGTTTTCGTATAAAAGTGAATTAAAAAGGTAAAGTTCTTGATTTTGTTCTACGTGCGTGAAAACAAATAGTTAATTAAAATCAGAAAATAAGACAAGGACTTTTGCACAAATTGAGGAGGTTTCAGAATGCACAAAAACAACCAGGTGTGCTTGTGAAACCGGCCGAGCCGTAAATTAAGCGTGAAAAAACAACAAGGTGTGCTTGTGAAACCGAGCTGTAAATTAACGTGGATTGCTACTGTGCCAATCGATCACGACGCGAAGAAAAAAAAGGAAGAAAGGTCAAAGAATCCATTTGTATTCGGATGACACAGAAAACACAAGACGGCTAAGCGAGGTTCGAACTGTATATAATTTTTGACACATTCTTTGCCGAAACGTAATCCTTGGGTTTACTTTACGCACCATGACAGAAACAACCGAGACAGGATTAAGGATTTCTTGTCCTGTATGTTTTCTTGTCACTTTCAAACAGAGTGTCGTATATCTCCTTTCTTTGAGGAAGAACTGTTGGCCAGCGGCAAAGTTGTGATAGTCTTTCTCAGTCTTGCGAATCACAAGCTGCATGCATTCACCTACGTGAAATTGGTAAAGCCAAACATGTACGTTTGCGATTTGATATTCTCTCTTTCACTGTCGGTGACAAAAGTGGAGAAGGCGACGAAGGCTACTTCCAATGACTCTGTGCTTCCTTTCTCAAGCTCTGTAGGTCTAGTCTATTCCGTCAAATCGGTAGATACTCCGTAGGATTTGAATTATTGGTACAAAATCATTGTACACACTGACAAGAAAGGTCTGGTAAAACTGCGAGAACCCTTAATGCCCGTCTACATAGTCTTTCGGCAGGGAATGTCTGCTCCAAGCCTTAGCAGGGGAACTTTTCCTTTTCTGCTCATTCAGAAAACGGACTAAGCCTGCACTTTCAGAGATCTTTGTTCTTGCTCTTGTTCAAGCTTGGTACATCTCATAAAGAACGTTCCCAAAATGTCAATTGGTTGTCTTCCATTTTAATTCTTCTTTCGCCCTAAGAGAGGATTTCAGAAAGGAAGAAGTGTAAGCAGTATCAGCGGCTGTTGTACCAGCCTCCTATGGCACCTTACAGAAACTTTGATTTAATTTAGGTATATTCATACAGAGGCTTCATTTCGAGCCTTCACCCGTACTACTCCACAGCGTTAAACGACAAAGACGAAGTCCAAACAAAGAACGCCTTGCCAGAAAGCGAAATTTGGCTTTCATTTCTAACTTCAGGAAATATGGATGTAGGGTGATCGAGAGTCTCATCAACTTGTAAATCATGCTTTGCATAATCGTTCTATTAAAATCGCTTCCTGCGGACACAAGTAATCCGCAATCACCGCTTATGTCGCCTGTAGGGGGAATGCCCTAATATCACACATCATTCCAGCTTGGAGACAGAAATCAAACTGTTGAAAATCATAAATCCAACCTCACGAAGTTGGTATCTTTGTCTTGAATTTCACACGGGTGTTTTTCACAAT